CTCAATGCTAGACAGGGGGCCCCCAGAGTACTCATATGAGCAACGTTTTTTTTGGTGGTTGAACCTGGTAAGATAATATTCCTTATATAAAATACTATACCCAAAAGGAGGATAGAATCTTACTCTATATTTGGTACCATAATAACCCCAAATAAAATACGACTCATATGGGCAGCCCTTTGGTGCTAAAGTACGCGCTATCCCTTGCATCACGCACGTAATCAAGTTTGACAAAACAAAATTTCCTGGTGACCCATCAATCTGGTGCGGTGTAACGTGCTTCATTTCTTCCCCGTCATGCTACACCGACACCCCATAAACACTAAACTGCGGCGACAAAACTTAATTCCTGGCTGTGTGTGGAGTCTAGGCTCTGAAGCCAAAGACTATACGGGGGTTAGAGGGGTCGTTTATAAATGGATTACATGGGTTTATGTAGGGGGTATGAAGGGATGATAGAAAACACAACGGAAACTACTATAGTACCCAAAAATCCTAAACCCGAAGCCTTGGACAAGAAATCTACTTTGGGTTCGCCGCGCTCCTTCAGAAGGTGCTTGAAGGCGATGCTATATACCTGCCCACGATATGTAAGGCACTTGGCAGTTGAAGCAAGTCTGATTTTAGTCTTCTCATAGAATACCGCAGTCTGGAGGAAATGCAATCCAAGTCCATATTCGGGACGGGGACCATAGTAGCTCATTCAAAACAACGCCCAAAGTTCTAGACCCCGAAACCCTACACAAAATTAAGCTCATCTTGGGCTTGCCCATAAACAGATAATAGTAAGACCTTGCCCGGTCCTATCTAGGTTTGCAGACGGGTGGTACCAAACTGTCGGCGTCTTCTTGTTCAATTGAAGGCAAGCAGCAACTCCAATTGAAATAGCAACCATAAAAGTAAAAGTAATAATGCCAAGAGCCGTAGCAATATGAACAGATACAACAACAGGGACAATCTCCATGAAAGAATATAGCCATAATAAATGAAGCGCAATATCAAAATCATTGTGATCATACTGATCAAATCCTAGCGGGAGGCCTAGTAGTGTCAGGGGAGATCGTAATAGTACCGTATACGCTTCGGCAGAGCGTGAAGCCAAGTTTACAACCTTGCAAAGTTAGGCTCTTGAATCCATAAACCCTAAACCCTAAAACCATTTGATAATATGGGTTAATATTGGGATAATGGAGAATCAAATGGAAAGAACATGGAAAATGAAATGGAAACTGTGGTTGTATAGGGGTATATCAATGTACCTATGACCCCAATCAACTAGAGTTGTTATGGGTTATACCTGCTAATTCAGGGGTAATTACGATTAAGCTGTAGGTAATTGGGGTTGAAGGTAGATCCTAAACCCTACCCTTCAACCGCCAAAGGCTCCATGTATGTATATGGTCTACTGGGGCCCTAGAATAGTTATATGGGAACCCCTTTGGGCCCTAAGTATATGGGTGGTTGTCA